TATTGTAAAGGACGGAAACTTGCAATTATTTCTATTACATTTAAAATGTACAAAAAACCATTCACTTTCGATGTTGTTTCGGTTTCGCTTATACATAATTTTAGAATTTCAGTTCAGTGCTTTTCATTTAATATTATGTTATAGTAGAAAGAATTATGGATGTGATTACAAAATAGATATTATCATTTTATAAACATTTTTATAAAACTACTTTGTAATTTTATATAATTGTGATATTTATATTTTTACCTAGAATCAATTCGGTTGTATGTTTTTTTTGTCTATATGTTACGCGATATCTTCGACAAATTTGAATCGAACTTCATAAATTTTTTTTTAATGAATACATAACCTATTCTCTGCTCAAGGGTGGTTTCATATAAATATAAAAATAAGTCCTTCTCCAAAGTGTACAATAATTGCTTTGAGGTGGTTTTGAAGTCGGTGTAACTTTTGCAGTTAAAAAATAATTATTATCCTGGTAGTTTATATGGCCTCGTGATTCTGTCACAGTACCTACCTAGTATTTTATGTGAGAATTAATAGTGAAGGGTTATTAATTTTGTTCGCTTAATATTTTTGAAGTTCAAACAGGAGGTACTCAATTTAGCTGTGGGCTTTTTTGTGCGCCACACGCCATCTTCGCTAATTTGTGAAAAGTAATCATAGTGTAATATGAATGTGTCATAATTCCTACTTTTAATACAATTAATGAATTCATAATGATTTGATATATCCATAGTAATGTTCTAAATGTGAGTGTGTTTGTGTGTTTGTTTGTTTGTTTGTTTGTTTGTTTGTTTGTTTGTTTGTCTTTCATGTCCAAACGGTTTGGCGGATCTGCGTGATTTTTTGTGTGGAGATAGTTAGAGGGCCGGAGAGTGACATAGGCTACATTGTACCGCGGGAGATTATCTCTTTCCCACGGGAAAACACGTTATAATACAATCCAAAAAATATTTATGATCAGAATGACTTGAAACTTGGTATTAATGCTCTTCAATACAATTAATTAAATACGTTTTAGCATTTTAAATAAAACTATCTTTTCGGATTATTTCGCGGTTTTATTTTGATTTTTGGTTCCCGACATTTCGAATGCTTTACAGCATCCATGGTCACGGGAGAGAAAGAGGTGTTACATGTCTTGAAGGTATAGTTGTTACAGACAGCCTACCCACAATTAACAAAATGAGAATTGCATCAATTACCTTACAATATTTTTTAACTTTAAACTTTTTATAATTTTAAACCTACCATTTCAGAGTTCTTTTTTGTAGTTTTAGCGCGAGCGAAGCCTCGGGTTCTGCTAGTTGTCATAATCGGCAAGAATAATAAAGATGTTCATTCCTAAAATATATAATATGCCATCTATAATAAGCACAATTCGTAATAGAGCACAGGAAATGAGGCAAGGGGAGACCAGTCTATGATGTATATTAAAAATGTATGATAATGTAATATATAATGAAGAGAAAGAGAACGATGTTATTAGAACTACTCGGCCTTTAGTTTAAACCTAAAACATTCTCACCAAGGTCTCAGTACTAATTTCTGAGCATTATGAGGAGAAAAGATCTTACAAATTGCTTCTCAACATTAAAGCATTTTTAATTTTACTATAAGCATCCATAGAATTCTGAGTAGAAAAACAAGTTTATAAAATGGCTATAGGTACTTACTATAAAATAATAAAATTTATGAAAGTACGAGACGTCGCTGAACTAATAACATCGGAGTTTTGAAACTGTTCCAAGTAAATAATAGTATCTTCTCCGTAATGCGGACGTATGGCATTTGTCCCATTAGACAAAATTGGCTACTGGTGTCTATGCTCAAAAAAAGGCAATTATACATACTTATGTATATAGTTTATTGTATTGAAGTGTAACTTCCATATAACATATATATAGAAAAAATTTACCATTACAAAGAAAAATGTCTTATTACCACCAAACATTGGAAAGTCCATTTTATAGAAGATATACTTTAAATTGTAGATAAAAAAAATTAAAGTAGTAGTAGATGAAGCATAAGTAAAGTAATTAAATTTGTGCTATTTTTAAATTGGTTATCCAGGTCGGTACCGTAGGCTAGGTTATTGCCTGCAAGAGCCACCTTGGGTTGAGTTCATTAAACGCGGGTGTCCGATCAACGAGGTTTTCAACGGATAGGGAAGTCCGCGTTGGAACTATTGTTTAAGCATTGTTAGCATAGGTTCGAGTGCGACAGTTCCGCCCCTTGCCATGAAACGCGATCCCTAGAGGTGACATCCGCACGAAGCCCCGTAATCCGCCGACATCGCAGATTACTTTACTACTTTAGGACATTGCTTATAAACCGTTTAAGACTAACAACCAAGTTGACGCACTAATTAATTTTACTTTTTATTCAATTCTACCCTCTGAGAGAGGCTTATTAAATGAATCATTTAGTAGATAAGCTTATACTTACAATCTCGATTTTTTCTTATACATATACCCTTCGATCAATAATACTACTGTTGATCAAAGCATATACCTAATGATATCTGTATTTTCAATTTTCTATTACTTTAAAAAATCTTTAAGAAACACGTAGCTTTCTTCGTGTCTTAATTATTATTTATGTACAACAGCTGGCGAGCAGAGGTTGGGTGAGCGAGGCGATCCGTCCGGCGAACGACGCAGTTATTTATAAAACAAGAGTTGCGTCTCGTTTTGTCTTCGGCTGGCTCTTTATTTTGTCTAAATATACGCAGTTTTGGGAACGTCCCGCTGCCTCTGCTGCGACACCAGCGCTGGCGACGCGCCAAAGCCACATATTTTGTCAAGAGCTTTCTTTTGTCTTACCATGAATCTACAAAGGAAAGATTGTATCTTATGTGATGCTACAGACTGATACTGAAACATTGATTATAATACTTAGTCATATTAATATGATGTTTGATATGAGTGACTAAGGTATTATGTAGATATATATTTAAACATACAGTCAAGCTTAGACGCTGACTAACTTGGCTAAGGCCGTGCACGTGTTATCCAAAAATAATGTTGTCCCTGGAATTGACGGTCTGCGGGGAGTAATTAATCGCTTCTTTTCAATGCCTATAAATCTTTTGACGGACCGATGGCTGAAAATATTAGAAACGAGACTGGTCAGATCAAAAGGAAGGCCACCGGGCGTGCAACTGTCACACCGGTGAGCAGAATCAGTTGGTCACACGAACTGGGCCACGACTGGTTTACGTCTATTCTTGTGCTGGTAAACTTGCACGACATATTGATGCTACATTGTATTAACAAAGCCAGCTTGTTTAGTACATACGGTAATGAACGTTTGTCTGGGCTTTTACTGTGAGGTTTGGCTTCGCTGGCACGTTTGCGTAAATCCTCAATCGTTAAACACTGTTTTATACATAACATGATTACCCTGAATTTAGATGCAAGCTTATTTGAACACCAAAATTATTATCAATTAAAAATTAAACTTGAGTAGGTAGGTTGGAAATGAGTAACATGCGTTTGATTATACTAGTACATTGTAAATTCTAAATAAAAGAAAACGAGGATCGACTGTTGCCTTACGAGTGCCGTCTGAGTCTAAAATCGTATTTCCGTAGAATCCTTACTAACGTCGTTAAGCTTCGGTGTCGGCTTTGCAGTTCGTCGACCCGTGCTTCGAACTCCTGAAACCAAGCAAAAACATTAAAACAAAGCGTATTTACTTTACCGGGACGTATGCGGCCCGTTTTTCAGGAGAGACTGTGACTAACATACGTGGAAATCTGCGTCACATAGCTTTAATTATTATTAATATACCTACAATTACTTCACCGAATCAAATTAAAAGTAAGTTTTATGGTGTCAATAATCGATTATGGTCTATGTCTAACTGGGTCACACGCGGCCTACAAAAGAGCGTTGCATTTAGGCCGCGTCACAATTGTAAAGAGGAAAAAAATAATGAATCAGATAAGGTTTATGGTGGACAGTGGTTCGACCTCGGCCGTCAAATGGTATGGCATCGATCGCACTGCGGCGGCACATCACGGCTCTAGGAACACGCCACCAACCCTTTTAATTTAAAGGGTAACTTGATAGCCTTTTTAAATTCTAATAATAAATATACGATACAACATTACAATGACGATTGATTTGGCTTCCCACTCACGTACAAGAATATTTTTTATAATTATGATTTGAAAATATTGTGCGCATATTTTTAGGTATTATAAAATATAAACTATAATAGGAAACTGAAACTTTAATATTAATTAGGATTATGTATTGGTAAGCTGGCAATTAGTAATTGAAGGTCAAACATTATCAGAATAGCTGAACCGCGACTCCATCCGGGGCCACTCCGGACGCGTGGCTTGTTGTAATAGCAGGGGAAATTTCACCATAACAACCAAACCGGACATATGTACGTCACGCATCTATGATCATTAGGCATTCATCACCGATTTGCTATTAAATATCATATATTATGTACCTACTGTTATCTAAATTGCTAGCTTCCTACTTACTCATTACATCCAAGTAATATCCTAGGAATATGTGATGAAATGTGCCAATTGACTGATTGGTAGCTGTTCCATCTGAGATTGCGATATTCGTTTTGATACCGTGAAGGTAACTACTTATAAGCCATTTATAGCGAGTGCCGTCTTGTCAGGAGACATCTCCCTGGATGCCGGAGCCCAGGCGGACGGCTAGCGACCGAAATAGACGCCGCCTCGCGCGGCTTAACAATGCAATAAAAAGAAATTAACATTTCTGACGTTGACTGCGCTAAGTTGACTCTTGTGTCATTTGGATGTGGTCCAATCTGGATGTTATATATTTCACTTTTAAGTTCTCTCCTCTCTAGCAACACTTCCGCTAAGTGGGACTGGAAATAGTATCTTTTGAGAGCGCACGCGTTGACAGATTAAATTTTTTCTATGAAATCTTTTAAGATGCCCTTGTCACATCGTTAAGGAAGACATTTTTTTAAATAAATATGTTTGTTACCAGGATTCGGGTTAGCTGCAGCCGCGGCGGCGGGTGTTCGCGCCGGGTATCCCACAGTTTTGCCGGCGCATTATGGGTAAGTTTAGATTGCCCCTGTCGCCTCAAACGCATCTGTATTGCATCAATGTTCTATGGTTCAACACTTCGATATTTGCCAGCACAAGCGGCGCCGCATGCCGCTTCGATTACATCTCACGAGACAAAAATCAGACCTTATTAACAAATTCGTCAGAGTGTAGTGTTAGGCTTTACCATATCAGATATTTTTTGTCGGAATTAGGTACCTACCTTATCACCACGGTGGAAAATATCGAATATGAAGTATTTAGTCTTCCTTCCTTGCCAAACACGGTCCTGATTCATGTGCTAAAACATAAAAACATGAAGGTAAATCTAATTCAGAACAATGATACATAGTAGGTAAGTAAAAGATGAGTGGTAGTATTGCAATGTCGGACAATTAGCTGAGCTGACTTTTGTCTCGGTAGATGAGGCGAGCGGCGTCTCCGGACGGCTAGCGGCGTGGCGGCCGGCGGACTACACCTAGACTATATAATCAAACATTTTCACATAGGTATCTATGGCAAGCGTGAGCGTGAGAGTGGATTTTTCGTTTTGGGTGTGAATTAGTCGATTGGGTTTTAAATGTTTACGTTTTGAAGCTATATCGTTGCATGGGCGGCGCCGGCGCGGCGGCACAAGTCGCGCGGGCGCCGCCCATCGCCATCACTATTCGCATCGTTCTCGACACTCAATGTTTTCTTTAATTTTATGTTTTATGCCGTGTTCGTGTAAGATTTTGTTGATTTGAATTGAGTTTTGTTGGTGGTGGATTTCGTTTAATACACTTACAAGTACTGAGTAACCGAATTTCCCTTGTAGCCTGTGGCGCGCGGCCTAAAATATTTTACAACTTTATATTTAACCATGCTTTATATTATTGATTGATTGTACTAAAAAGAGAGAAAGTGCTGATTTGTTCATTTAAGTAGATATGTAAATATAATCGATATATTGTTTTTTTTTTCAATGTATAATCTAAAGTCTGGTACTTTTAAGCTTTTCGATTAAAATGTTGATCGTGGGAGTGATCGAAGATAATTGGGTCAAAAATTATAGGAATTGGCGAGTCACGAGTTATAAGGTCCATTCACGTTTCAACGATCGCAGATAGAGAACACAAGGGTTCTTAATAAAGTTATTATCAGATGTCGTCGACTTTGTGAGGAGCTTGAAGCTATCGATAGCAAACTCGGCAATGTTAGCAGGGTATTGCGGTCGCCGAAATGTGAATGGTTCTCGAGAAGGGATGTTCTGTTACGTTTGTCGGTGGCCCAATGTACGAGACGAGAGATTGCGCAAGGTACCAAATAACAATGCGTGGTCTCTGTCTTCCGCCGCCGTCGTGTCGAACTTTTTATAATCTCTATTAATTTTGGATAACGAATTTTAAGTTAATAGAGAAATTACGCTGTCACGGTGACTTGTAGTATAAGTCACAATGTCAAAATATACTGTACTACATATTATAGTACTTAAATGCATTAAATATGAATTGGGTATGCTAAATTGTAATAAATAAAAATGAAATAAAGTATTAAAATCATAAAAAAGGTTTATCTTCACGAATACAACTAATATTTGTTATAGACAGAGATATGCATGTAAGTAAATACTTTTCTTTAAGAGTGAAAAATTAGGTTTCTAACAGATAGGTTTTAGAGGTGAATAAAATTTAGATTCTGTCTTTGTAACTGTAGATGTGACAGCTTGTGTGCCGTTTCGCCAGTTTTATATTGCTCTTTACGCGTGTTTTTTATTTTTACTTGTTATAAGTTTGTATTTCTTAGAATTCTTCACATTCCTTGATAACTATAGTTTTATACATATAGACCAGTTGGTACTGATGTAGGTATTGCACTTACGAATGAGACTAGAACACCACAGGTGGGCGGTTAGGGCGGGCGGAGCCTTCGGTCGGGCGTATACGACGCATGCGCGTAGCTCTTTTGCCCTCATACCAAACTAATCAACCCCGCTACAATTTTCGAACATCCATCAATCCGTCTCTATTGACGTGTATAATGTTGGAAAAAGACAAACGGTCGATAAATGGTGAACTAAGTAGCGTAGGCCCCCCCGAGAACCCTTTGTAAACGCTGATGCAGCACGCTACGAGCGCTCTTGAACAGACTTGACCGCCCGCCGTCACAGTGGAGCGTAAAATAGCATGCTCAGCATTTCTTCTTTTTTTATGGTACTATGCTTTTTTAGTACATTGACAATACATATACAGCCGTAATTAAATATAAACTTACATTTCTGAAGTCATGTCATAAAAGTAGAGTTCGAAATTTCATTCATACATTATTAATTTATTAGGGTCGTATAATTTTTACTGTATTTTAATAATTTGGTTTATATGGCTATAAGCTAGAGTAATAAAGAAAATTGAAGTCAATGTCGAATGTCTCAAATCTTAGAATAACTGGCGAAAGATGAATTTTTATTATAATAAATACAAATCACATTATTTTATTTATAAATATTATGTTGATGGCGTTAGTGGAAGAATAATTTCAAGGTGTGTTGTATATTTAAATAAATTATCGGCAAAACAACCTTTTATGACCAAGCAATAAGGCTTATCACATTTTTTAAGACTTGTAAAAACGTACATAAATATATGGTTTATAACTCGGCGTATTGTATTTTTTTCTTGTTTGTTTTTACAAGTGTACGATTAGAACTTCTTGAAAAAATGTTTTAATATTATATTATATCAAACAAACATAATAATATGTACATTTATACTGACAAAGTTACTCCATCAAGACAGTTATTTTTGTCGCAGGGAAGTTGTTACAAATTTTAAAGATTTTTACTTTCCGGGCAGTGACGCACGACGGCGGATCGACCACGACCACTAAGATTCGTTCGTGTACTTACATAATATATAACCGTTTATCGATGTCTACTAACATAACAAGACTAGATGCTCGTACCTATCAGGCTGCAATTGGGGCTAGGTACTTATAACGTGTGATTTGGATCGTGTTAATTTACTGATGATCTTTCACGGATCGGCTTTGTTGAATAGCGTGGGAGATCATCGTGGGGTGAAGCTTAGATGTTCGAGAGATTTGAATGCTCTCCAGCGTCTAAAGCAATTTAAGGCTTATGATTTTAAATAATGGATGATGATTCTCTGCAGGTTGTCCCCGGGTTACGTCTATGGAGCTCCTAGTTACGTAGGAGCGATGGGGGGAGTGGGGGCGAGTGTGAATGCCGGCGCAGGTGGCCTGGTGCAATTACCACAGATCCAACATGCAGCAGCCGTAGCCGCGGCTAACCACCTGTACGAATATCAAGCTGCTGCGGCTCAGGGCGCTGCCGCCTACCAACAGCAGTATGCGGCAGCGGGATTTGATCCCTATGCCACAGCCGCAGGTTTGTGTCAATGACCTTTATTTTTATACTAGTAGCTTACCCTCGATTGGCTCGGTTGTGTGTCTAAAAGAGACGTTTTTTTCGTCTTAATTCACAAATATCAACATACCATAGTTTCTTTTGGTAAAATTTTCATAAATTATATGTAATCTTCTTAAACTATCCCTCTTTTTATTGGTGAAAACCGTATGAACCGTGCAGTAGTTTTAGAAATTGGCTTAAATGAATTTATTAAAATGTAACAATTGGTTTCCACAGCCGCTGCAGCAGCTGCCAGTGGTGGATATGTATCGCCATACTACGCGCTACCAGGTGGCGGAGTCCAGGGACCACTTTTACCTCCCCTTCCTTATCCACCACAGCTTCAAGAAGCACGCATGCAGTAACAGAAGGCTGATAATATTTACACGATTATACGCAAGCAAATATAACAACTTAAAACCATAAAAAAAACTATGCGGTATAAATATGATAGAGTAAGTATTATTTCGTGAAATAAGGATAACGTGATGTCGTTACCGCATTAAACCAAATAGCATTGCGACCTATCAAGTATATTGATCGTATCAACCAAATATAACAAATGACCAAAGCTATAAGCTTTTACTCTAGTATTAAGACATGATGAGGGTACTTATATAGGCCAGTGCATGAGTGAGGGAGTTAGAAAATTTCTAAAATAAATTTACGTACATTTTGTACAAACACCTTAGATAAATGAGCTATATCATAAAAGGAACCATTGGAAATTGATGCTATTGATGTGGAACTGTTGAGAGAAAATAATATCAAAATTAACGGCATTTGCAGTTTAAGCTCGAAAGTGTAGAAAGTTTATTCTAAAGTAATCCTCAGCTTCTTGTTGCTCGCAAGGGGGCGAGTAGGATTGTAGACGATGAGCAAAGGGTGTGGTCGTTTTCAATAAGTTTCTTTATATGCGTAAGCAGAGTTAATACGTAGCAATGGTAATGAACTTGCCTCATAACTTCAACTTCCTAATATCATACCTATTTTTTTACTTATAGAATATTTTTTAGATCTACAGTTAAGTACATTTATATATTTGTATGAATCAATACTTTTAATTAATACAGGTATTAGCAAAGAGCTGTCAAATGACAATAATCTTAAGGAAAGCTTGTTGTCGTCATAATAAGATTTTCTAAGGTTAAAAATCTGAGGCAGCGATATTAGCAAATATCAGTCTGCCGCAATATCTCATGCGTTTCTCAGTTTTATGGCTTGACATTTTCGTATTTATTTACAATTTGTGATTCTTCCAAAATACTTCCTTATTATTTGTTTTTCATGTAAATATAAACGCATACTTTAATTATATGATCCAAAAAATAAAAATATCACTAAAAAATATACGCTAGACGTTTAGATGTATGTTTGGGGACAGAGATTTTCATTGAATAAAACGTATAAAGAAGAAATAGCAATCCTATATCAAGTAAATTTGTACAAAATTGGGCAGCAATATTTAGCGCCTTAGAAAAACTTCTTTGTAGTTTTTTTTGGGCAAAAATATTCAATTTAGTCTCTCTAGAAATCGTTCCTATATGAATGAACGCGAATATTATAAACCATAATTATTCCTTAACAAACTATTCAGATCTGGCTTTGATATCAGTGCCGTTAAACGTATATAAGAAAATCCTAGGTAAATATATAAATAGGCAAAAGTTATAATAATATTAGCTTTTATTAGGTCTGTATTACGCGTCCATATTGCTCAATACGTCCTAAGATGGACTCGGTTTAGCTTAAGGTTAGAGGAGAGCAATAAAGGGCTTATGTATCGATTAACTTAAGAAATGTACTTATTCTTATATGTATATGTAAATCACACTTCTATAGGCCCTCGTAAAATTACTTTGTTCTCCAAAGCGGTATAGGGTACTTACTAGTTAGAATAAATCAATTACTAGTCCATGTAATATTAATGTAATAAGTTTTGACTTTCGCTGGCCGTCCTGTCGATATTTCCCTTTAGGGAAAGCAAAATTTGTATTAAAAACTTTTTTAGCTATTTTCTCGAAAATATAAAAAAAACAACTCGGTTGTAAAAAACTTGAAAATAAATAAGGCCGGCGTTATAGTACAAGATAAGGGCACTAGAGATAGAATTATCACAGAATCTTAGTCCGTAAGTTAACTTTAATTATTATAATATGCTGTTATTCGTAATTTATTTTGTTGATATTTGTAAATCTACATGTTGATAACTATTTATTATGTGAAAGAGTAATAAAAATTGTTGAATATTTATCGAACGGATCGAATCTCTCATCGCGGCAGTGTCTGAGCTAAAACCACGGTTCGGTCCAATATATTGAATTATACACACTTTAATTTTAAGTAGAGTATAATATTAGACTTGTACCAAAAAAACATGAACCATGCTAGCCATATATGTGGCCATCTTGCCTTAAAATATAGAAATGCTATTGTATAAATCATATAATAAATAAAGAACTATACCTATTCTAACAATATTATGACACATATCATAAAATCAGATGTATGGAAATTACGCTATAACGAGCCGAACAGTCCATAAGTGCATTTCATTCACAGTAATATAAGCACAATCTAATTATGTATTACGTATATAAAATGTGAATTCATAATAAATACCTAACTATTGTTATGAATAATTTAAAATTATACTATAATGTACTTAATTTAGGATAATCTAAAACGGAAAATAATTTTATAAGGTGTAATTTTGTGTTTTCTTTCTGTCCCGCCTTTACCCTGGACCCTGGTAGTCTTATTATATGTCCACTATTATATTAATATAATGAAATTCTATTCGTGTTTAAATATGTCTCCTGCTCTATTTAAAATTTTAGTTTGTGAAGAAATAAGTAGGTCGGAAGAATACTCGTCGTCAACTTGGCGAGCTTCCAGATAGAAATCAGTGTAAAATTGTCTCAAAATCAATGAGATCATCGAAGCTATTAAAAAATCTCGTTTTAATATTTATATAGAGACATTGAAAAAAATTGAGTGATTGATTAGAATAGACTTTGGATTTACTCGATCGGAAATGAAACTGACATCTTACCATCTACTATAGTATTAGGCAAAGAGTATAGATATATACTGTATTAGGTATATGATCTGTGCTACTATGCGAAAGTTTGGATAGATGGATGTTTGTTACTCAATCTCGCCAAAACGGCTGAACGGATCTAGATCTAGCGGCTAGACCATTCTGCAGTCAAATTACAAAAATAAAAAAAATCACGTGGAACCCTACATATCACTGAACTGAAGAAAAAATATCTGCATATGTACGTGTATAGTACGTGTATCTCTGAATAGGTGTTAAAATATGCTTATGAAGTCATAAACATCATATCCTGAAAAAACTTCTGAAAAAAAGCTTCCGAAATAATTTCAACGAAAATTATTTTTTAAAAACTACGGTGTGTAGTTTTTGAGATACAGATTATTACCCATTTCACATGTGGGTGTATTTTTCATTATGATTGATTTGTGATTACTAAACCACGTATCTATATTCTAGTTGAGAAGTGTAATTAATATCTGCGAAAAACCGTTAGAAAAGTCAGAAGATTATGATTTATGGGTGTTAACTCATTAGACGCGGAATAAGAAAAATACGTTTTTTTTTATTTTCTACAAATAAAAATTGCAATTGTTATATACAAAAATCTGTAACAACAAAAGATCTCAGATTTTTGTTTGTATATTGAAAACGGTAAATGATAACGGAAATCAGCAAAAAGATCCTCAAAGAAGAGAAATTTTCTAAAAAAGTCTTGACACTCCGAATTCAAACCCCTTATTTAATAATTTTAATCCGCCGTTGAAAATGGGATTCCGCGCGGCTACTTGGGCTCAAGCGCGTCGCCACTAGAGAGAGTAGGTATACATAACCGAAATAAATATAGTTTATTAGTATAAAATATTAATTTAAAATTTAAAAAAATATGGTGTGGTCTGGAGACTATAATGAGTCAAGTTCCATGGGAAAGAAATTTTATCATCAAATTTCAAAAAGTTATCCCATTGTTAATTAATAAATTTTTCCTAATGCTCTGTAGGTAGGTAGGTAGGTATATAAAAATCAACATAAAACATTAAATAATTATGTTTAAAATCTCAAACTTTTTGGAAGCATTCTTATATAAGTACTTAATGATATCATAATGATTAAGTTTATAAAAAGTTATTTATTTTATTAGTTATTAACAAATAAACATTACAAAAAATTAGTAAATTTTAATTTATCAAAAAAAATAAAGAATTAGTACTTTATGTTATTATCTAATATTTAATACAAAATATGAATGAATTTTTATCTTTGAAAAATAACTTTCTTTGTCCTTGTCTCCCACCAGATGTCGCGATCACTATGATCCTCAGTACAGTGTAAAGCTCTATAGTGTGGATCAATTTTTTTATTTTATAAAAAAATTATTAAAATGACAAACTGTGCAGTGCAGGAAACAAAGTTTTTTTTCTGTACTTTTTTACATAGTAATTACAGTTCATACAAACAAAAAATAAGAGTTTCATACAAACTTTCATCCCCCATCTTACCCTCTTATTGGATTGAATTTCGAAAAATGCTAATACATGTATTCATTTAATTGTATTGAAAAGCATATATAGCAAGTTTCAAGTAATTCTGATCATAAATAATTCTTTGCCCATATGAAATTTAATTTCTAAAAAAATCTAATAAATATATTTCTTATTTTTTATCAAGCTAAACACCACTTTCTGTGTATTTCACATTAAGAATGCAGAGTTTCGTACAATCTTTAATCCCCCATTTATGCCTACATTATATAAGAAATACGTCCTCTAAATTTCATGTTTCTTCAACCAGCGGCTTAGGCTGTGTGTTGATCCATCAGGCAGTCAGGACCACCGCAGGATGCACCTTTCCTTCTCAATTCTTCTTTCAGCTGGTCTAACTTAAGATAAGAAGATGTTAGATGCGAACATAATAGAAGCAAAAAAAAAACACCTGTTTAAAAACCTCAATAAATTGCATAACCTCAAACTGAATGTAAATAGGCCATACGTGCGGCGTCCTCCTATCGCGAAATCTTCTCCGTTACATTCGCAATATTCTAAAATAAGGCAACACTTTGTAGTTTGTTTGATGTCAGTGTCAAACTGGGACGACTCACGACATTATTGACAATGTTACCTGATACCTTTGATTTGAATGCGTCTCTTTAGAAATTATTACAATCGAGAAACGTTTTATTTTTATAAGAAAATTGAATTGATTTTGGTTTTAGTTTTTTAAATAAAAAGTTTAGTTTTTTAAATAAAAAAGAGGAATTAGTTTTATCCATTATTTTCCAGTGTCGCATGTTTTATAGTAAACAAAATTGTAACTTTAATGTGAATCGTTGTTATTATTTACCTATATATTATTCTCTTGATGGGATTATATATTTTCAACCGAATTCAACAAGAATAACAAGCTATGGCTGGTCAGGGACATCAGTTTCCTGGTAATTTCCAGGGAAATGCTGGTGCTATGCGGACAGGCTTCGGCGGGCCTATGGGTGGTCAAATGCAATCTATGCCTAATCAGTTAACCGGTAAGCTTATTCCAATAAAAATTATCTTTTATGAAGTCCTCTTCACATATTATTTCACTGATCTTTATATTTAAATGCTTCTTTTATATTAGGTGTCATGGGTGGGCCCATGGGTAATGCTGGCATGGTCGGTATGGGTAATCAAATGGTTCCTCCATATGGTGCAGCAATGCCAGGTCAAATGGGAAACATGGGCATGGGTGGACAGGTTTGAATTTTGTTCTTATTGTGTCATATATTAAATATAAATGAGAAGGAAATTAGTTATTTTTTTACTAACAATTTTATTTTATATATTTAAGGGAATGGGGACACCAATGTCAGGAGTAGGTGCAGGTCCTGGAGGTCTTGGACCCCAAGCTGTCCAACAACAAGGTTTGTTGTCATGTAACTATAATTTAATACTCTCAGAGACTGTATACATTTCAAAAAATAATTTTTCTAAGTATTGTATATTTTAAATGTATTAGTAGAAAAACCTGGTGTTATTTAATTTTGTAAAACACTGAACAAAAAATAGTACCATATGTATGTATTATAAAATGCAGATTCTTAATAAAAGTTTCTCATCCATTTTATTGATACTTTAGAAACTTGCACTACCAAACTGTTTCAAACAATATTATTGTACAAAGTCATTATAATAAATTTTACAATTTACTTTTTGAAACTGAAAAATAACTGCTCCGCTAGACACTCCTGTGAATACTATAAAATTAATACATATAAAGTTACCTATATTATAGTGCAACTTATTTTTTAAGGCAACAGATATAATACAATTGCTATGTTTTATATTCTTTCAGGTATTCAAGCAGGCGGAGCAGTACAAGCAGTGGCTAATCCTCCTCCAGCCCCTGCGGCACCTCCCCAACAGAGCAAAGAGTTTAATACTGCTTCTTTATGCAAGTATGGAGAGTTGTACTATATTTATCTATCTTTAAATACCTTTAAAAGAGCAATTATTGTATATTTTACCAGCCATCTCGGAAATGGCTCTAACAATTTCACAGAAATTTGGTATGTGGGGGTTTCTGGGGTAAAAAATCGATCTAGATTAGTCGTATGTCTGGAAAAACTTTTTTTTAAAAAGGAAATTGTACTTTTGGCTAAAAACTGTGAGTGAAGCTTGGTCGCCCATGTACTATATTATTAATTAGCCTTCTATTCATCTAAAGTTGCATACTGTTTTCTATAATAATTATTAGCTTCATTCATATAACAGTCCTTACCAAATAAATTACCTTAACATAGATGGCGCTATTTGCATTTTCTGACTTTAATGTTGTTTATTACAGTTCCATTAATATGATTTGTTTTTGGATTTTATAATATAATATGAATATGTTTTTAGGGCCATACATCTGATTGCAATTACACTTTGTTTTTTTTGTTCAAGTTAGGAAGGTGTAGTTTATATATAATATTATTATTCTAGACGACACGTTTGGCTCAGTTTGTAGTGACCCTACTTACTGTGCCAGTGATCGCGGGTTCGAGTCCCGCTGGGGACATTCATTTGTATGGGGAGCATGAATGTTTTTACTCGTTTGTATTTATTTAAAATTATATATGTGTAGTGTATTAACTGTCTGGTATCCACAGCTTACCATGGAACTAAATGGTGCTGTGTGTTAATGTCCTAACAAATAAAAATTATTGTAGTTCTCACTTTATCCCTAAACAAAATTCAGGCCAGTAGCTAGTAATGTATAAATATTTTATAATAGCGACTTAACCTCACTTTGTTTGGGTGTGTTCCTAAGCTTGAATGGTTTCAGAACGCACAAAAGAACAACTTCCCAAGAAAAAATTTTTTTTTGGGCCAGGGACTTTCACATGTGTCAGAATAACCCACCAGAGTTTCATCACAATAAGACCAGTTTAGGAACACTTAGAGGAAAAACATAGTAGCATTTATTTTTATTTATATAGATTTAATAACTACCTTTTAAATCAATTACAGGTTTGGCCAAGAGACAGTACAAGATATTGTAAGCAGAACTCAAGATGTATTTCAAACATTGAAAGCAATCCAACCACCAAACGGAACACCACATGGAGAAAACGCCAGTAACGACAAAAAGGCTAAAATGCAAGAGCAGTTAAGGACCATACGACTTTTATTCAAAAGATTGAGACTCATATATGAAAAATGTAATGAAACTTGCCAGGTGAGTGTTACTTTTCATGTTGTCAGAAGTAATGTCTAGATTTTTGTCTCCCAGCAATGTTATTCTTGTTATTTAAATTGTTATTCTTTTCTATTACTTTTTAATTCTATCTGATTATAAATATTTAAAACTGCTAGTTTTTTATATTTTTAGTTTGTTTCGATTACTTACTTACAGCACTATCTATTATTATATTCCGAGAGCTGGCGACGAATTTTGGAAATGTCCTTTTGGCAAGTTGAAATTGTGAAAAAATATAATTTCGTGAATTGGCGAGTCCAGTCCCGTGAGTCTGGTATAGCTTTAGCGGTTATTTCGGTACTGCGCAGTATATAACATTTGCAAAAAAAAATATCCAAAAAAACATTTTTATTTAACCTTTTAATTTAGTTTTCATATAATTCAAAAAAAAGAACCCCAGACGTTTTTGTTGATTATAAAGTATTGCCAGACCTCTCCAAAGGTTCATTTTTTTTTCCAAAAAATATACTTTTGTCAATCTGAAATTTTAATCACGTATTTATTAAGTAGTTTTTAATAATACTTGCAAATCGCTAGACGAATTTACCGGTTATAAACCAATCCCAGATGTAAATAAAGTTTACAAATTAGTACTACAAAAAAGTCGTATGCGTAGCCATAGGTGCGAGAAAGATAACTTATCGAGGTATGCCAGCAGCTGATGGGGGCCCAAGGTCCTCGCGCTGTCATTGGTTATCGAGAAACCGCACGTTTCGAGTATGGTTACCCATATAACACAGAATCTAGAATTGTTGGATGGATTTTAATATAATATTTTCATTGTATAAATAATACTTTTAACTCTCTAATTTTTTTTGTGGTGGAGTAGATACAAAGATAAAGGTTGAAAGTTAAAACACTTACTTATATAATTAATGACTTAGCTATTAATTTTATTTTTTGATGTTGTACATGTATTAATTGTGAACTGTATCTCATGATGCATGACAATAAAGCTAAAGGCAGTCACCTATTAAAATAATGTAAATATAATAAATATAATTATGTTTTTATAACAGTATTTGATATAATGTAGGAAAGTTATATGGTAAATAGTTACCAAGACAAAAAAAACAAAGACAGATCACAAGTTTCTTTGAATTTGATAAACTTGAAATTTCATTTATTTGTCGAAGGGCATGGAATACACTCATATGGAGAGTCTCATACCGTTAAAGGATGAAGCTGATAACAAAGCACTGGATGAGAGGCGGAACACAGAATCTTATAGACTGGCTTTGGAGGAAAACCGAGAATTAACTGAACAGGTATATCTCAATTATTATAAATATATCAACCCATTTGTTATTATTTATTTAATAATGAGGAAATACTTTTTTAGATTTGATTTGATTTGACGTCCGTACTTATATTATAAATGTGACAGTTTGTGGCGATAGATGGATCGGAGGGGTCAAAAATTGCCAAAATTGTCTCAATGCAATTAATGAATGGCCTGTAAAACGTTTTTGTGTTTAAAGCGAGTATTTAAAATGAATAGTTGTTTATACAATAAAATAGCTCTCTAAAATCTGTCCGTTAATGTAATGTATTATAAATGTTATTTTTTCTAAAATAATAAATTCAATATCCAGTTTGAAAAAATATTTTCTCTTTTATAAGTGAAATAATGAAATTTTAGTTATTTTTCTCAGAAATGTTGTAGTGATCTCTTAGAGGAATTTCCTTAACAATTCTAGTATATTCCTACTATCCCTAGTAAGGAAGAAGTAGAAATTTCCGGGGTAAAAAGACTATCCTATGTCCTCCCCAGGGTTTCAAACTATCTTCATACCAGTTTTCATTTAAATCGGTTCAGCCGTTTAGTTGTAAAAAGGTAACAAACAAACAAATTCACTTTCGCTTTTATAATATTATATTAGTACTAGCAGAACCCGCGGCTTCGCTCGCGTTAAAACTACAAATAAAACTCTAAAAAGGTAGGTTTCATACTATATATATATAAACTATTATCCCCTATTTCACCCCCTTGGGGGTTGAATTTTAAAAATCCTTCCTTAGTGGATGCCTACGTCATAACAGAAATACGTGTGCGAAATTTTTAGTTTCTAGCCCTAAGAGCCTGTGCGTTGATACATCAGTCAATGACTTTTGCCTTTTATATACATACAGATGTGGATTCTTCTAACACTATTAATTTCATTTTTTTCAATTGAAATGATATTATATTTATTTCTTTCTTATCTTTAAAGGATGAATCCTTTACAAGATGAAAAATTTTGAAGCTTTACGTTGTGTTTACATTTCAGGTTGTGCTCAAAAATAAGCAGTTAAAGGAAGTGATAACAAACTTAAGGACTATTATTTGGGAAATCAATGTCATGTTGACAATGCGACGGTCGTAATTAAGTTTTAGTGTAATTTGTTAATTATGTATCAAAATAATTGTTAAATAATTAATTAAGGTATAAAATATATTTTTTTTAGTAAAATATGTTATTCTTTTTCTTTCATTTATAAATGATTCTTGAAATATCCTGTTTTATCTCTGATTCTACTCGGTCAACAACATTCAAGATTTTGATGGCTTTCTAAAGGAGAGCTTAAAAAGTCTAATTAAAGTTTTTTTCCGTTTATTTCGATCATTTAAGGATCGTTTTATTAAGAACAAATTTTTCCGACTTCAAAAAAGGAGTAAGTACCCAGGGCGGGTGCAAAAAATTATAATACTTTATTTTGATTTTATTCAAATAACTTACACCATTAAATGCTTGGAGTTTTTTACTATAAACACAATCATATTGCGCGCTAATACAAGTGGATGCTCTATACATTTCACTTTCAAACTCTGTTTGGACTATAATTCGCTATTGTGGTATGAGATCAGGTCAATTTCTTAGTAGGTAATTTTAGAATAAGTACTTTCTAATTCAAATTACTCGAGCAGTTCTTAACTTACGCCAAACACTCATTTTATAACCCATTTGACTGTGGATTTATAATATCATACACGTGAATTCATTCATTATTGCGTTATGGCAATACTTTAGAGTGATTTTTGGAGGTGGGTTAATTTTAGCGATATGATTTAATGTTACAAATACGATGTGTCGAGCATATTTACATGACACACTACCTTTTTTTAAATAGTTTCAGCCGTCAGCGGGAAGTTCCCACTACAACTATACGCCATACAAAACTTTAGTGAACCATATGTCGAGAATTAATTTTATTATCTGTAATATATATTAACAAATTTCAAAGTGTAAATCATTTCGCTATCGTTTTCACCAGAGATAAAGTAAAATGTCTAGACAAAATAAATAATAATTTATATTTATATAACATGAGTACAGAGTATTAATTGTTACATTTTTATAAATAACTAACTATGCTAAGTGGCAAGTAAGTTCAATGAACTCTGAATCTTAGGGGTGTTTCGCCCAAAAATCTCACTTTTTATTATTAAATACTAAATCGCTTATTAGACGAATAGGTACTTACACTCTATATAAGGCACAGACAGTGTAATAAGCCGTTCTAATTTAATTCTAACATAAATTAAAAGCTAATTTCTTAAAAATCCCTTATCTAATAGGTTAGTGACGTTAAATTCAACAAGTAGTTAAGTACATAACTTATCTACGTTCGATGGGTTTGAGGATATCGTAGCTGGCTTTTTTCTTTTTTTCGAGAAGTTTCTTTTCGTAAGGACGACTATCGATTATTTCGGAAGGTTCTGGTGCGGTTTGAGGTTCCTGTTCAGGAGTATCGGGTGCTGCTTCAAGCTCTTTGCTAACGCTTCGACCGATTGGTAAGGCGTGGAATGCTTCAGCTAAATCCGGATTGATTTCCTCTAGTGGCGTGTCCCCGTTGCGAATGTAAACTGGTACGTATCCGGGAACGTCCGGCAAGATCTGCCATTTGGGGCGTGCCTCTGTAAAGACCAAGTGAATATTTATTATTAAAATACGAGTATATAATTTTTTATTCAGTGTCCAACTTTAAGAAACTTTCAAAATCAATGAATTAAAATCTTTAATTTTGAATTTAAATTGAAAATAAGTTGATGTAAATAATTATAATAATAAATAGTAATTATAATAATAAATAGTAATTATAATAATAATAAGTAATTTTAAACTCATTTTAACGTGTTATTTCATAGAAAATATTAAAGTGCAATCTGGTGTTTACATCTTATTGTAATCTCTGTATCATATAAAGAACCGTTTTATATACCGTTGTAGATTTTTAATTATTCTAATCTAAGATTGCAAGTGTAATTATAAAATAGTTGTTAAAATATAATTATTATTGTAATTTGTTGCATAATATATTGTTTTTTTAATGCTTTTATTGTTCTTATATAATTATTTAGTTATTGAATCGTGACATGCATTTTCATAGTTAACAAACAATATAGATATTCTATCCGGAGGTCATGAGATAGGACTTGCGCATGCGCATATGTCGTGCATCATAAATTTGCTAATATAGACCTCATATAGTTTGTAAATTCTTGTTTAAACCGATTCTTATATACTTCGTTCGTTCAACCTGAGAATTTTTATGATTTACCTATTTCTTTTTAGATTGTTGTTTGTGACTGATTGATGTTGATGATAACTATTTTAGGTAATTGAAAATTAATTGAAAATATTATAATAAATAAATAAATAAATAAATAAATAATGTATAATTATGTATAATGTCGGTAAGGTACATGAATATTTGTAATGAACCCGAAGCGTTTCGGGAGATTTGTTTTAATTTTTTACTAGAGACGAACTGTAGTAAAAAATAAAAACAAATCTATCCCACCATACACTTTTCCGGGATATAAAGTAAGCTATGTATTATTCCAGACTATAATCTATCCCTTTGCCAAACTTCATCCAGATCCGTTCAGACTTCCACCCATCCTCAAGAACTTGCACGTTTATAATATTGGTATATACAATTATAATTGTTTGAACGTTTTTGTTAGATATATTTTGTTATTATTTTTAAGCAAAACGGCTATTTAAACACTTAAAATCTATGTATGGTTGTAACTTTAATGCACATGATGATAGTATCAAAATCTCTGAAATGTAAGTTTTAATCTGCTTCATTTTATTTGCGAATCCAGCGCACCTACTACTATGTGCTAGTTGCTACCAGTATTAAATTCTTAAACAGGCAGGTTTTCTGCATACCCATTTATAATCTATACATAGCTATTATAAAATTATAACTAAGCCGAATCTGTACATTAAATATTTTTTGGAAAATCTTATTGAAATAGACATTAGTACATCGTTTTTAGAATTTCTGTCTGTCTGTTACCGCATTATGGAAAAACCACTGGAGAGATTTTGATGAAATTTGTTATGATAATAGCTGATTATCCGAGTCAATATATAGGATACTTTTTACCACGGGAAAATATCTCATTTCTGAGAAAAAATATAAAAACTGCAATGTAAGACTATACTAATATGTAAAACCTAAGAATTTGGTTTTTGGTCATCTGAACGTGGGCGAAGCCGCGGGCAATGCTAGTTGTTAATAAATATAGTAGTATAACGTGCAACATGCAAAAGACAGCTCAATATTATGGTGAATACACTTTCACTAATTAATCTTTTAATGGTTTTGCTCAAAAATATTTTCACGATATATTTAGATTTTAGTGCAATGACCGAATGTTACGTTTCATTTGAAAGTTTTATACAATTCTCACATATCGGCTTCCTATCACATTTCCGACTTGTACCTACTACACGTGCAGAATAAGTATCTTAATTTTATATATTTGTATACGCTAAATTGGTACTTATATTGAAGCGTTATAGGTTATTTTTGTTTGCTTATATTTCTGGAACGTTAATAAGTTGTTAAAGGTATAGAAACCGTACGCGACTTTCATCTAACGGTCCAGCGATGTGAGGCTGAGTTTTTGCTTGTCAAAATACTAACTGTACCCGTAATATTCGTCTTGCAGTACTCTGAAACATTTGGTCTCAAACAGCATCCTCAAATCGATATGCTAAGGTACACATTGGCTTGGGCGAGGAACATTAGTAGGTAAAGGTAATTTCGTGTGTACACATCTCTTACCAACTGCTCGTTTGCTGTTAGCCGACATTCTCGATAGGCAATATATTAAATCGCATTGTCTTAGACTGTTCGTTGGGTCATATTTAAAAAAAAATACCTATGTAATAGATATCATGAATGATGGAGCAATTGGCTAAGGGTGAAGTTTTAGCAGAGGTAAGCCGTTCCAAAAATATACAATTTTCATATACGTATTAATGCAGAAAGAAATAAAGCTATTATATATATATATATATATATATATATATATATATTTATATATATATATATATATATATATATATATATATATATATATTTCGAAAAGAACATTTATACATTTAAAAAATTAAATATATGTAAAATTATAGCAAAATAATTTTAAAGTAAGACGTCTTGTATGGACGTTTCGCCACTGTGGAGCATACTATGTTATGGCTTTATTATTATATTTTAGCATTTTTTTAATAGTAGATACATGTATCTCAAAAGATAATAACCATGTTATGTTTTTAACGTATTTAATTATTTATAACGTAAAAAAGCTAACAAATACTCATTATAGCGATAGTGAAATATAGTGTCATAGTATAAAATACGATTGATATCATTAAAAATGCAATTAAAATGTTCATAAATAGTATTATAAGAAACGTGATTTAAAACGTGTACGACAACTTAAGAATCAACTTTCCTAATTAAATCCAGTCTCGTTTGCTACTTGAGTATGAAAAGTAGATCAGTTAGGTGAAGAGTTGAGACCCTAGATTTCTTATCTAAACTTGGTCGAATATCATTTAGCAAACATGCCGCTAAAGAACAATTTAATTATATTCACTTTATTACCCTTCGAATATCCAAACAGTGTATTATTAACTAGTCTTCGTATGTGGCTTCGTGTGCATTTTGTATACATAGATATTGATATTATAGATTTTACAATACATATTATGCTTAAATATTTTCTCTTTTACAGCTTTTCTTACTTTTCAGCGACTTTAGAGAAGATGTACACAATTCATTTGCATGTTATATTTGTTTGTACTTCAAAATTACTTAAAAAGTAAATATTTCACCCTTAAACCTACCTGGTTTTAATTTAAAATTTATTCAAGACCAGCCATTCTTTTTCTGGGGGTTTTTTGCCATACATTTTATGAATTTTAAACTGTTTAGGCAACGCACATAAAAAAGATAAAGCAACTCAATGTCCACTTTTTTTCGATTTCAATTAAATTTGTTATGAGTTCTGTCTAATACATACTGGAAAACCTATTGAAATAAAATAAATAGCCTATAGCACTTGGCGGTATTGTAGCTTCCTATTAATGAAAGAATTTTCAGAATCGGGTAGTTTCAAAGATTACCCTCTACATACAAACTTACAAATTTTACCTCTTTATAATATTATTTTAGATTATGGTAGAAAATCGATTCGCAGTTGGCAAAGATATAGGCTAATTAGTTCCTTTTAGACATCTACTAAGTGTATTAAGTAAAAGTTTATATAGATAATAGACCCAGACAATCGGCTTCATTTAATTTTCATGTTGCTTATATTTAAGAATATTTGACGCTTTTTAGTTTTAATTACATTCTTTTATTGTTTCGTGCAGATGTTACAGTTGAACTAACTCGAGGTAATTAAAAAAAATAATTAAATCATACCAATGAGTAAATAAAGTATGAAATAATCATATTCACGGTCGGTTTGAGTGTCAGATAAAATTAGCTTTACTTAACCGGAAATCAAAGCTTTTTCCTGTCCTTAGATCTAAATCTTTTTAGTTATATTTGTTGGTTTGCTCTACATTTTTATGTTCTTTATATTCGCAACTTTCATGTACAACTTTTACCGTCACTAGATAACCTCCACGTACCTAATAAAAGTCATTGTCCTGTCCAGTGGTGTGTAACTCGACTTGAAACAGGTTAATCGTGTTTATTTTGCATTATTATAAAATTCCAATTCGCTCCCTTCTGATGTAAATAACATCCGATGTACTTTTTCCATAGATATTTTATTTATAGAGCATTGTTATAAGGCATTATATGATACTCTATTACGTGTATTTGAAGGTACAAACTACAAAGTCACTAAGCTAGACCAATTAGTTTTTTACGCCCATTTAATTTACTCCAAGAAATCAACTGTAAGCTTTTTCGTTTGGTGCCTTTCTTAGAATAGCGATGATATCATTAAATGCTTTTAAATTTAATATGATGTGTAATCTTAAAATAGATATTATATATTATTGATTTTGCTAACCGACTTAAATAAAGAAGGAGCAATATTGAAGTCACATGTTTGTGAAAAATAATTTTTACCCTTGTAAGGTTACCTACATAAATATGTTATAAATTTTTTTTAAAGTGTTTTTTAAATAATTCTATCTCATAAAATGTCCTTGACACATCGTGAATGGTTCCTGTGGGTTATGAGTTACTGAAATAAGTGCAACGCTAATAAGCGATACTATAATTTAATTTTTCAAACAAATCAAATGGCGGTACATGTGGTAACTAGCGTCATTCAGCAAAACTGAGGCATGTGTGACATACATACATACATACATACATACATACATATATGTACAATAGCTGGGTAGTGATAGAACTCTATGTGTAAAGAATAGGCTTCAGATTAATAGAAATTTAACGAAAGTTACAAAAATGTTATATTTTGTTTTTGCTTCGTGACTTTAAAAACCTATAAATTCGTTGTATTAAACACTACCTTGGCATTTTATAAATTCTAATTTAGCGATTGTTAGGTTTCAATACACAAAATTAAATAACCTTAACGTCAATTTTGCTTATGTATCGCTCAAAAATTAACTTGCTATTTTTAAATGGAATGACAAAAACTCTTGCAAAAGCTCTATTAAGTTGGTTTTAAATGATTGATATCCAATTTAGCCAATCGATCGTATATTTAAGCTCAATTGTATTGACCACCCATACAACACCTGCAAATTAGATTTCAAACGCAATTAAACAGGTTTATATCATAAATTTTATTTAAGAAATTATTTTTTTTTCTATTGTGAATATCAATAGGCTTTATTGATTATGTTTAGGTGTTATAAAATAAAAAAAGCTGCGCGGGCGCACGATCACGGAAAAGATTTATCACGACTTAACAACGCGGTTTTAGTCGTGACTAAAACTTGAATATACTTAATACCTATTAATTAGCATGTCATAAGCTTTTTGTTTTAAATAATATAATTGTTTTTTTGTCATAGCTGAGTCAACATGAAAAAATTGTTCTTAAAGCTCTGACATTTAAAGAGTTCGCCGTTAAGGATGCTCCTTTTATATTTTTAGATACATATATTGTTTTTATTCTTCGAATAATTTGAGTCTTTCTTTTCTAGAAATGTGATTTTAGAATTATAGATGATAATGTGTATAAAAACTAATCATGTATTATTGAAATCGTGATTACTTATTTAGATACTTAAGGTATTTTTGCGAAAAAGTTTCCGAATCACTTAAAAGCTTCTTATTCATTTAACTTCAAGAAAAGCTTCTAAGAGGCCAAGGTAAATCGATATTTAAAAATCTTGCTTGTTTGTCCTCCGTTCTAGCAATAAATCAACAGATGGACATGTTTTTCTTGAGTATAATTTATGGGTGGTAGAAGAGTAACTAGGTTATTTTCCATCTCCATACCTAAAGGAGTATCACGACTTATGTATTTCATATAAGTATCTTAAATGCTAAAGCGAGAGTGGTTTATGAGATAGTGTTTAAAATTTATAACAATTAATTTAAAATAATGATATTTATATTACAATAAATAAATTGTATAGACACTTAAACTTTGAAACACAAACTTTGGCGGTAATTTTATGCGTGTAAATATAATTTTACTGAGCTCGAATGACTATAATTAGCTTGAATCTATAAACCAATGAAATTACTAATAATTATGGACATAACGTCTAGGCGGTACGTTAACGCCGGCACCAATTATATCTGAACTTTATATATGTATACAGGTACATTTATTTTTCATTCCTATATACTTTTTATTACTTTTTACGATATATCATAAATGCAATTGATAGACTTTTTGACTTTATGCCTAAACCTCTCTACCATTCAAGGAAAAGCTCAATAGAAAAATGTTATTACGCGGTCTGAAGATAAGTAGGAAGGAGATATATTTAATTTAAAGATACATATTTTTTTTTATATAGAAATAACTTATAAAATCATATTAGTTTTTTTTTAATATTTTTGTCTTGCAAAGTAAATCAAGGAAGGAAACGAAATAATTTTAGTAGGTATGGGCACGTAATACTTAGTGTCTCGAGAGGAAATTAGAATGATAATCAGCCTCACAGATCGTGTTTCATCTTAAAAGTAATGATGCCAATTTTTAAATGCAATTTACAGAGCTTAGCTGTCTATCAAATTATCTTTAATGTTAAAACTTTATACTTACATATTTTAATGGATGCGCGCTTGCAAAAAGGCGAGTTAACTGGTTTGTGCTTGTAACTGTTGTTTTATAGCATAATTTGAGAGGAATCCGTGTTAATCAATGAAAACTTATTATATGTAGATAAGGAAAATTATTTATACTTATTGATCTACATTTATATATGAAATATGGATGTATATATTACATGATCATATTTAGGTCAAATTGATTTTTTGGGAATTTTAGTTTCATTAATTTAGGAATTAATTTTTGGAATATAGAGTAGATATTAGATATTCACTTTAGATAAATAGTTTTTTTATATTGTTATATTTTTACATACATAAATAATTTTACTACTTGACTAAATGCTAGTATCATAATATATATAATTATATGTATCTATAAAATAAAATAAAAATATAATATATTCAATAAGGTAATCATAAAAATATATAGCAAAATTAAAAAAAACACATATTATAAGAATAAAATAAATAAAAACCCCAAAAACTTACCAATTAATACAACGCACAACACACCCACAATAATTAAAGATTTATACATTGCGAATAATTTCGTGTCAACACTTGGGCGCAGGCGCGGACCACGGCAGCGAGCTTACGAGTGATGCGCCGGCGCACGGAACCGGATTAAAAACGTACGGTTTGCCCGAACCCATTGGATGCAACTTTCCTCATGATAATCAGATACATCGGATGTATAATTCGTGCTATCGGCTTTTTCTGTGTTCTACTTTTCATGTATGATATCATTTCAAAATATAAAATTGTCAGACATATGATAATGCGATGCGGTTTGCCTTCCAAAATTATAATTTATTATTTGTGCTATTATTATTGTGTAAGTTATATTTATTAAATTTCAATATTTCCTATAAAGTATGGTTAGGTAAAATATAATGTTAACACGGAAAGACAAAGGGCTTTTTTATTTTTATGATTTTATAAGGCTTTCTTTCTAAACTCGGTTTGAGGATTCACTTTGCTATTTAAAATCAAATAATATACGTAAACGAAATAAACATGCATGCTGAATCATCCAGTGTTCATTTCTTCTCCAACTACATGTAAATTAAATATTTTTTAGAAAATCTATTGAAATAGTCATCATTATTGAAACAGAGGCTGAATCTATAGTTTTTAGAATTTTTGTCTGTCTGTTTGTTCCTTACCGCATCACGAGAAAACCACTGGACAGATTTTAATGATCGGGCGACTCATGGGCGGCGGCAAAATTACTTCCAGGGTGGCATGGCAGAAGCATTTACTTCTTTACATTAAACTACTAACTAATCTTTAAAAGATTATCACCTTTTTATTTTTTATTCATATCTTGTTTATCATCTTTTCTTTGTTGATATCAGGGATCTTACTCATATAATTTTTGTTTCCTTTCCTTCATGACAGAGAGGTTCAAGTGCATCCTCTTGCACACCTCTCCCGACGCCCATGATAACCTTGTTTATGTATCTATTAATACTTTTAAATAAATAAGGATAATAAATTTTTGAAATAATCTGCTACAATAATAAATCAGTATTCCTTGGAAATTCTTAGACCATTTATTTGAACTTTGAACTAATCGCATATAATATTACTAGCGACTTAGCCTGTCCCTCTGTCGTCGTCGTTAAGACCCTCGTATTGTGATGACTTCGAAGATATTAATCTCATTTAAATGATGTCAAGGCCAGTTTTGATCTAAATTAAGTGCCTAAGTTGTCTAACATATTTATTTAGACTTTTTTGTAGTATTTTTTGTTTTTCACTTTATAAGAACATATAGTGGTTCTGCCTGCAATAGTTTACGCGGCGCATATTGCCAGTAAAGCTCCCAGTTGGCATGATTTTTTCTGAAGTCTTCAACAAACATCGTCATATTTCAGCCAATTTACACAAAACTTTAATAAATTAAACACCTACACCTTCATCATGAATCACTCCGTCCATTGGTGAAAACCGTATAAAAGTCTGTTCTGTAATTTTTGATTTTATCGCGTTCAGACAGACAGACGCAGTGGTGGACTTTGTTTTATAATAATATGTGTAAAAGTTAATTATTTCCTCAATAGAAAAATTATTTTCTTTTAAATGTGTTATTTTGGAAGCTTTCTTAATCATTAGGTATATACCTATGTTAAAATAAATTAAAAAATCTCTATTTTCAATTTTTAAGGTTCCGTACGTTAGTTAGATTACTTTATAAATACTGTAATTGCCAGGCTCGGAGTTCGAGTCGTAGGTAGGACCAAGTATAGTTATTAGATTTTTCTGACAAGAGTTGGAAAGTTGGCGGTATTTTATCCCCCGCGCCTCGGAGATCTAGCAGCAGCAAGTAAAGCCTTAGCTTAGGTCCTGCGCCTGGTTTCACTGGTAGTGTCAAATTATCGTCATACCGGAGTTTTCGAGTATAAGTATTAGATTATATATTTACGCCCTACATAAAGTGCATAAATATAGTACACATCTCTCTAATAATTTTAAGCTCTACTGAGATTTTGTCGATACAAATTTATTTTTTGTTTAGTGGTTAATGATAATTACAGAAAATATTTGATTTGGCTAAAGTGGCTCAATACTTTTTATAAAAAGTAGAGGGTGCTAGTTACCTATATTATTTAGAGATTATACCAAAAGTGAACAAAAACATATAAACTTATACATTTAACGAGCGACTCATCCTCGCTTCCCTCGGCTTCGTCCCTAGGTACGTTTTAAGGGTTAGTATGGAAAAGATACACTATATATACTAGTATAGTATTATATGATCTGTGATATTATATACATAAGTATGATGAGTTATTGTGAGTTGTATTATAACGTGTTTTCCCGTGGGAATGAGAAAATTTCTTCTCGGCAAAAAGTTGCCTATGTCAGCCCTCTAGCCCTCCACTACCTCCACACAAAAAATCATGTCAATCCCTACCCTATTTCGACAAAAAAAGGACAAACAAACAAACACACTTTCACAATTATAATATTATAGTAAGTAAAGTATGGATTCCGCTCAGGCAACTTTAATAAAAGTATATGATTATGTAGAAGCATGTAATCATTATGGTTTTTTTTAATATACTAAACTGTAAATTTTACTTACTGACTTTTTAAAATAAAATTAAAAAAAAAACATGGAAACGTAACCAACTTTATCGATATTCCTTTCAATAGTTACATTTACAAAGTTGTACTGAAAGCTACGAGAAAGTCTCGGACTGTAAATAATAAGCTTTTTAGTCATATAAGATAAATATGCTTTTCGTTGGATATATGTGGTATCTAATACACGACTAACTTTTCTAATCAACTTGTATACTAATAAGAAGATTTATTGCTACAATGTTTTACTCAATAATTAACGAAGTATATATATCTAAGATTTTTTTTTTTTTTATGTTGGGACATTAACACACAGCGCCATCTAGTTCCATGGTAAGCTACGAGGCTTGTGTTATGGATACCAGATAGTTGATACACTACAGATTGACAACTATCGGTTAGATAGTTAGCATAGCTAAAGCAAAATACAATTTGTTGTATCTGCTTGGCACTCTGATTGACCTTATATGCCGGAGGTTACGGGTTCTATTCTCGAGCGTGGAACGTGTTTATATTGGTTATCTAATAAGATTAGTTTGCGGCACTCCGAACACGCTGATGTCAAAGCCGGGCCGGCTGATGTGATCTAATCCTGTAACATCCTACTATGGCGATGAATGTTTCGCTAAATAATTACGTGTCTTGTTATCCTTCTGAGCTTGCCAGAGGATACTGGCCAGCATTGCACTATTTTTTTAGGTAAAGCGGGATTTTGAAATCTTTTAAATAAAAAAACCCGGATTCTTCGTTGAAAGCGGGACCTAATAAAAAAACTTAAGTAATCAGTAGGTACTTTTTTATACCTATCTTTTTTATTTGAGTTTTTAATTAAGTTTACAATGATGATAGATACTTATTTATGGAAAAATATTTTAATGGAAATACGTTACTGTATAATAACGTATAAAGCTATAAAAATAATCATCTCTAAACCTTCTAGGAATATAAATTAGTAATACTTTAATTACGAATTACTTACTTATATTACTCTGAGAGTTTAAGTTTTTTTATTTACTTTTAATTATTTTATTTTATTGAAGAAGTCTGCAAGAGTAACTCCAGATTAAATTGATGATTGATGAGTATTTCAGCTTTCATTAAGTCACAGATTGTAAAAAATAAGCTTTCTAGTCATATAACATAAATATGTTTTTGGTTTATATTTACGGAGCATTTATTTCTGACCACCAACCATTTTAAATTTATTTAAGAAAAAATCCGTTCCGAAAAGTAGTTTAGAGTTGGGACACTTAATATGAAAGAAATTAGTTTAAATATATTTTTGGTATTATTTTTCGAAACTCTTTAAATAGTGGAAAGCGGGACTGAACCTGTCCTTTAATTTAGGCTAAAAATCGGGACGTTTGGCAACGCTGGTAGTTACTCAATGACGGGTTTCTTCGACAAAAAAAAATAGTTAAGTGTAAGAGTTAAACATACGAGTTGAGCCGCATGCAATTGTTAGAAAACTAAATCCCATCAAAAACATACTGTAAAAATATTGCAAGTCTCGCAACGCATCTCTCTACCGCAAAAAGCTATGAGATATAATGTAAAACCAAGTCGGTTAATTTATTCGTTAATTTATTCATTACCTATCTATGGAAGCATCTATCCGACAACTTTGTCATAAATCGTTACCGAATTAGTTAAGTTACAACATTTTATAGTGACCGTATTAATATTAGATATATTTATTTCTTTAATTAATAGAGTGACTTGGCCATCGCACGGAAACATAATCACATAAGAGTCTACTACTTTAAATAGTCCTAATTAAAAATATCATGACCAAGGTGGACGGACGACTTGGTCAAAGTCGCTGGAGCCCACTGGATGCGGATGGCACAAGACTGGTTGTCGTGGAAATTTTTGGGGAGGCCTATGCCCAGCTGTGGACGTGTTTGGGCTGAGATGAACGGAACATAGTACTAGCGGGTCAAATTGATGCATACACTAACAATACATAAATAATGCACTCAGAACGTTAATATTAGGTAAATTTTGTTATTTGTAGGTTCTGTTATCATGTGCGATGGCCAAGTCATTCTATTAATTAAAGAAATAAATATATCTAATATTAATACGGTCACTATAAAATGTTGTAACTTAACTAATTCGGTAACGATTTATGACAAAGTTGTCGGATAGATGCTTCCATAGATAGGTAATGAATAAATTAACGAATAAATTAACCGACTTGGTTTTACATTATATCTCATAGCTTTTTGCGGTAGAGAGATGCGTTGCGAGACTTGCAATATTTTTACAGTATGTTTTTGATGGGATCTCATTTCTTTTTGTAAATATTTCTTCTTTTTCCCTTTTCTTGTACTATTTCTTGTGTGTCAGCTAAGGACTTCTTAAAAGCCCACTCCCTGTCTCTGTGGGCTTTTTTCAGAGGCTTTGATATAACAAATTTTGACAAGTCTGGATGATAAAAAATCT